AATTAAATTGTGGCGGAATGCTACAAGTTCTTCAAATACCTGTAGAGTGATAGGTTTCTTTTTGTGAGTGTAATACACTTAAACGCACCATTTTAATTTGGTAATTATTATTACATAGTGAATATCGTGAAACAGTTCATTCAACAACCAATATAAGTCATAAAATTACTTATCAATTTTCTTGTAACTAAAACTAAATTAAACAAACTAGTCAACTGTTAGGTGATAAATAAATACATAAAGTAGTATCACTGTGAGCTTGATTGAAAACAAAACAAGATAAGCAAATCGTGTACAAAGCCAAATCATAATCCTACTATATACTAAAATAATTTCTCTATTCCTAACACACTTGTCACAAACGCTTTTGGAACTAAAAACTAGTGGCGACCCACAATTTTCTATTTTACCCCTGCTTCGACCCTACAAGAAACGAATTAAATTGGGGTGTATTTTTCAGACCTTATCCATCGTCTACCCATTTATGTACTTTTTATATAGGATATATATATATATATATATATGTGGATACATATGACAAATGTATATGAGTAATGGTGAATAATTCCGTTTGGATGGATACTAGATATTCAGTCTAATTTGTTCCTTTATTTGTTTCTAGGGAAGACCACACAGGATGGCTGTAATATAAAAGAATTTAACACTTGTATTAGTAAGAATTTCCGGGGTGACAGAAACATCAGATTTGGTGGACTCTCGGAATCCTTGGAAAACCTAATTTTGACTTGCAGGTAATCTAAACCTTTGTTAGAGTTATATGAAAGTATCATAGAGTAGCTTTACGTTTGTTTGTTTGAAGTTAAGCACAAAGCTACACAATGGGCTATCTGTGCTCTGCCCACCACAGGTATCGAAACCCGGTTATAGCGTTGTAAGTCCAAAGACACACCGCTGTGCCACTGGAGGACGTTTAGCTTTGCAATTAAAACTCACTGTTGCGTGTGTCTGTATATAAAAATATAAATCCAAATTCTTGAATAACTAAAAATTAAATGAAGTAAAAAATGTACTACTAAATTAGTATATCGTATGTTTGTTTGTTTGTTTTTAATTACACCCAAAGCTACACAAGGGCTATCTGTGCTCTGCCCACCACGGTTATCGAAACCCGGATTCTAACGTTGTAAGTCCGCAGACATACCGCTGTGCCACTGGGGGACTAGTATATTGTAACTAGATTATAAAATATCCAGGGTAAACATAATATTCAAATATGCTTGATAGCGGCATTTAAAATTCTTAGTGTAATTGTTTGTTTTTTTAATTTCGCGCAAAGCTACACGAGGGCTATCTGCGCTAGCCGTCCCTAATTTAGCAGTGTAAGACTAGAGGGAAGGCAGCTAGTCATCACCACCCACCGTCAACTCTTGGGATACTCTTTTACCAACGAATAGTGGGATTGACCGTCACATTATATCGCCCCCACGGCTGAAAGGGCGAGGATGTTTGGTGTGACGGGGATTCGAACCCGCGACCCGTAGATTGCGAGTCGAGCGCCCTAACCACCTGGCCATGTAATTGTTTTAAGTTTTTATATGTTTGTCCTAACGTTTCATTCTTGAACTTTCGTGCTTCAGGAAATTTTACAAAGGAATGGACTGCATAGAGAATTTCTACGAAAGATGTCAAAATTTAGTTCAAAGAAAATACATAGAGAAGCAGATTGCTGGAGCTAGGATTGCAATGTCACATCTCTGTCCTGGTGAAGACATTAAACAAGGTACTTTCATGTTAAATTAGCGTTAACATATTTAACAGTATGGGTACAAATGTTACTAACATGTATGTTGGAGTAATGACAATCGACAAGGCGTTGATATGTTGAGATCTCCTTCAAAATTTAATGACACCTTTGTTTTATTGAGGACATTTAACAAGGCATTAATATGTCGAGATCTTGTAAAAAGTTAATAACATTTCTGTTTTAGAGTGGAAATTTAACGAAGTATTAATATTATTGTAAAGTTGTTCTTTTGTTGGCAAGGTCTTTTAATAATTCAACGTCCAGTCGACCTAACGATAGAAAGTTAGCTTATTTTCCTTTTACCTTTCTATAAGGTCAAGCACTGAGGTATCTTCACAGCCACGCTACCTATATTACACTAACATAAACATAAATGTACTTGTACAACTTCATGACAAAAAAAACACTGACTAATTCACTGGACTGACTAGAAACGACTCTACTCTATTATTCACTGCCCTTTATATATAAATAATCTTCTCTTAGAATTCAGTTGAAAATCTGACGTCAAAATTACAACATTATTGCTTATAATATTGGATTGTGAAGTCTTTCAAACAATCGTAATACAATAATAATAATAATAATAAAACACTACACTATACTACACAAACTGTACATTCACCAAGTCTTTCTAGTGGTTTTTTTTTTCTGTGGCCCATAGCAAACTGGTTTGATAGCGTCTTTTTCTTTGTTGTCACTAGCGATCTTGTCGCTGGGGCAGTTCTTCCTAGGTAGGCGGTCAAGTGAATCTGCTGGCGGCTCCATCCTTGATGATCCTCGGGAAGTAGTCTCGACAGAAACTTTGGACTGTTCGTCGAGTTGAGTTTCTCTTAACGAGCTCTTCTTTGGAGCTACCAGTTGGCCGTTTTATCACTGACCTATTTCCAAAGACGATCACAATGGATGATCTTTGAATTATATAAACCACAGTACAGTACAGCATATGACCCCTCCCAGTTCCCGCTAAACTTTGGAGTTTGCCCTTTCTTGCAGCAGGGATTACACAGCCACACCATGTGACCTTGATGAAACCCAGTTTTATCATTATTAGCATCATTTTATCGCAAGCTGCTGATTGATGTTTTCCCTGGATAAATGCATATCCAACATCTTTATTCTTAACATCCAAGAGAATGCCCCCCCCCCCCTCAGTGGCACAGCAGTATGTTTGCGGACTTACAACGCTAGATACCCATGGTGAGAAGAGCACAGATAGTCCCTTGTGTAACTTTGTGCTTAACTTTAAACAAACAAATATCCACGAGAGCTCTTCTAACCATCAAATCCGAGTGTCTAGTTGTACTACTCCCCAGTCAATAAATGCAAAATCGTTGTTAATAACTCCTGGTATGAGAATGTAATTTTTTGATAGTACAGTTACTACCCTCCCTGTTGTTACTAAAAATTAAAGGTGTGGCGATACAAAGAAACGATACGACTGTCGTATCGTGAAGCCGTGATAAGACTGTACCGATACATCTTCAGATACGATACCATTAATGTTTCTTCACGAAATTTGGCAAGCTTTCAGTAAACATTATAAGTCGTTTGTACAGAAAAAATCGGAATTTCTGTTAAAGTATTTTTTGCTAAAAATTAATGATTCAATAAAGGAAAATTAATATTGAGTACTACATGTTGTCTTCATTTCTTTTATCAAAAACATTACATGCAAAATAACATAACAAATTAACAACAACGAAATAGATAGACAGATATTAACTTTTTTATATTTTACTTCTCTTGCCAGCTGCCATTTAGTTGATCAAACCTGAGAATTTGAAAAATCACTGTAAAGTGTGAGGTACTTAAATAAGACAATGTTAGTAATATAGATAATAAATTACAGACAAGACTATCAAACTTTGTAACAAACCGTTGGCAAAACTCCTGTATCTAGATACGTATCGTATCGCGGCTTCAATATTTAGATATTATTTAGATCGTATTGACTACTATGATAAGATACGCACCCCTTCTAAAAAATGTAACTTCTGGTGTTATAATAGCCATGTCATACATAGGGATTTTCTGGTCATAGACTATGAAGCTATCTGAAGCTAGCCTAACCTAGCATCCATATCTCCGCATGAAGTAAGTTCACGATTAACTTAATTAATTTTGTTATTACCGCCTCTATATGCTTCTGTATTTCTTCAATCTGATTATTTTAATCCCTCTGTAATCTCCAATGGCTTCTTCATTCAATTTTATTTTAGATTTTAATTCTTCTTTAAATAATATATATATATCTCTCTTTTAACTTCTCTCTTAAATTCCTGTCACATTCTTCCTGGTCTTCTTTTAATTTTCTGTCTCTTTTCTCTAAATCTTGTCATAGTAATTTCTTTATATCAAGCAATGCTTCACTATCAGTCCTTTACCTTATGGTTGCCATTTTCACAGTAAAAGTTCAACTCAAGTGTATTCAAAGTGTTATTTTACTTTCACCAAAATAATCTTGCATCTAACAACAGTGTCTTAACATTGTTCTTTCGTTGGTGTTTTTTTTTAACTTATGTGATGAAAATAATTCAAAGTCCAGTCCATGTAAACACTAAAAATTAGGTTATTTTTCCCTTCACTTTTTTACTCATTTGAACATTGTGGCAACTTTAAGGCTATATTTACAAATGATGCTAATTGCACGACACTAACGTAAAAAATTAACTTACTTATACAAAGTAATTCAGTATGCACATAAGCTAACACAGATTCAAAACAAACTCTCTATCTTCTTAACTATCTTCTCGATACTTCGGTGACCTCGTATTTGTAATCTACCGTCGAATGTCCTAGAAAACTTGACATCAATTCCCCTAGATTTTTTTAGGTTTTCTAGGCCTATCTAATTTTAACATCATCATTACGACCCGCAACTCCCTTTAGCTAACAAACAAGATGCAACATTAAAAAATATAGCTTGTTTGTAGTTAAATACAAAGCTACACAATGGGATATCTGCGCTGTGCCCACCACAATATGGATTTTTTTCTAGGCCTCTGCCGAGGAGACTTTAGTTTTATTTATATTATATTTCTTTACCAAAGCTCAATAAGCCAGTTAGAATAAAAACAAAATCTCAGTTAAAACGTAATCCACACCAGGAGTATACGAGACATTACGTTTAATGGTGTAGGATAAGAAAATGAACGTTTGTAAAACATAGCCGTATATTTTAGTAACGTATCCAATTGTTACGTCTCCGTTTGTTAATTGATTTTCCGTAACTTCGTTCCGACGAAACTTTAACGACACA